ATGATTGAAATCTCCATGGTTCTTTACCTTCTTCACATCATCCACATTTCTTCACGCCCAACAAGGATCTGTTTTCTACAGCCTCTTCTCCCCCCATCTTTTCTGTGTGTTTGCTGACTGTTGAACGGTTGATGAGCCAGCTTATGAAAATAATGTGTGGTAGCCAAAACAGCCCTTGCTTGCAAAGGCTGTGAGGAGCAATGTTTATTATCCACTACGCCAGCCCTAGATGACCCCGACTTTTCACCAGAGTTTAAACCAAATATTTTAGAAAGGGGAAAAAATAACGGTCCCTTGTCTGTATTCACACAGCTTTCCTAAGGCTGCAAGCTATCGCCATGACTAATACAGACGACAGCAGATGGCGAGGTAGACATTGAAATATTGCCCAGGCATACTGCTCCCCCCTTCCATTATTATTAAAGGGAGGGTCTTGATTTCAGTCTGGGAACTTGAAACACTTGAACCCTACCCAAATCTATCCTTTTTTCAGCTAGAAATGCAGCTACAGAAGTATGCAGCAAAAGTCATTCTTTGGCCTAAAACTAAATAAATAAAAATAAGTATTGTCCTTTGTCTGGCGTGAAAGAAAAGATGCTGTTTGGTGGAGATGGAAAATTTTGACTACTCTTTCTGTATGACTTTGATGCCCTCATGCCCTGTTGAGGGAGCTCAGGAAATAGTGACAAGTGAGATGGTGAAGATTTGTTCATCTAAGGCAGGAAACCTAAGCACATTATCTTGGTATGTCCCATTGAATTGGAGACACCAACAAAACATGTAGCAAATCATAATCATGCTGTGAATCAAATGGAATGTATCATATTATTTGTTCATGACAGAACTTGTGGGTAAATGATAGCCAGAAAGCCTGTGATACAAATATTTGCACAAGTCAGTATAGTTTCACCCTCAGTCCCCTGTCCAGAATATGGAAGTTATAAAGGTAATAGCTTCAAGACCAAGTTTTTATCATGCCACAGCCCTGCCTTTTCAGTCTCTCTTCTTTCCATAAGACAAGAAGGAAATATAGAATAGTCGCCCAATGGTTTTGTTAAGAAGCCTCTGTCTGGAAGCAGAACAGTCTGCTTTTCAGAACAGTTTGCAGATATTACTAACACAATGGATGCGAAATGCTTTGACAACTTAAAATGAACTATATAAATGGTGATATTAAAAAGAATGCTATTAATTCTAATGCTAATAATAATAATAATAGCAGGTATAAATACATGTATATGCAAGATAGAGCAATACAGTGATCTCTTGAGAGTCTAATAATGTTTGATACATTTCATAGTTTCCTTTCAGAAATCTTATGAGAATGGCTCAACTATTCAATTTTAAAGCCTTCAGGGTTGTGTCGTACAGGCTCAAACTAAACCAAGGTATTATAGCAGAATGGGCATTTAAATCTAGTTTTGGCCTGATTGGCTCATAGGTTTGGAATTTCTTAAGCTGGCCCTAACCTTCCTTTTAAAGGCTCTTGCTGTATTCCAGCTATACCTTGCTGCATTGCTTTTTAGTACTGTCAGAAAAGCCGCTCTTCAACTTGCCTGTCTCCTAACAACAATAATTCAGCAAAAAAGCTGCACGCTCTTTTGACCCAGGACACTGGCTTGGGATAATTTTGTTAGACACAATGCAGCATCCTGATGGCTCAGCAGTGCCCTGTTCATGTAATCGCCCCCCTCCCTGTCTGAGGACCAGCCTGTTGGCAACTCAAATCCAGGTTGGAACATGCATCTCTGCTTCCATGAAGGTCCTTTTCCTACTAGAAGAAAAAGTCATTCAGAAGCATTAAAAATGTTCTGCCTATCTCAGAACCAACCAGAAAGAATGAGGGCTAGAACAAAACTGACATCAAAAATTTACTGGTCTTGAATTAGATATGTGCAGAGAAGGGAATTATCTTCTATAAAAAAATCCAGTCTCAGTGCTGAATTACAGATTAATGAAAGGTAGATTACTGACAGTAAGGAAGATGTGTGCTTCTGTCTAGGAGGAAAGGGAAGAGAGGATGAGAGAAAGAAATGTAGAACCTTTTAAAAGGTCACATAATGGCAAAGGTTTGTGTCAACCATTTTTTTTCTCACACACATTCTCTCTCACATGCTGGTACTTGTAACCATTGGACAATCACATTCCACAATTCATTCACAATAATAGTAACTGACACACTGCCCGGGTGCAAATGGTATTTGCAAAAGGTATTTCTTCCAGTGAGAAAATGTTTCCGAATTTTGCTACAGTACAATTTCCCTGTAACAGAAATGTTACCTGTAGAATGATATCTGGACACCCTTCAACAGACAAGTAACAACTGTGGATTTAGAAAGTCCAACATTTCCAGGAAAGGCTGTTTCAAAAGCATAAGAAAATAAATATTTTGTTACAAGTTATAACTACCACACCTCAGCCGTGCACATCTGTCCCCTGCGATCCATACCAGTTCGGTGCTTCCTTGTCTATCCCTGCAAACCCAAATCAGAAGCCATCAGCCATGCAGCAAACCACCCTGGGAGAGTCGGCTATTGGTGGTATGGACATGTAATTAAAAATAAAAGTAAATAGTAGAAGAGCACAGAATGTGCCTCCAGTTTTCCATTTTGCTGATTCCAGTGCATGAGAGTTTGAAGCAGATTCCAGTGCATGAGAGTTTGAAGAGTAGGACCAGCAGTGCTCGCTTCCCAGATGTTCTCTGCTGCTGGAGGGCACAATCTTATGTTCCAGGCAAGCTGCCCTGGACCCCCGAAGTCAGTCTCCAGTACTCAGAAGACAGTTGCTATCTTTTAATCTATTTTAATAGATACCCCACCTTTTGGGAGGGGACTGGCTGCTGCAAGTGCTAGGAAGTGAGGATCAGAATCATTTAGGTCAGGGGTCCTCAAACTACACCCTGCAGGCTGGATCTGACCCACCATGCCCATGTATCCGGCCCGCCTCAGCCGGTTTGGACTCGCCTCGCTGCTCCCACCACCTCGCCGTGCATGAGCCAGCCGCCGCCTTGCTGCACATGCACCCGTCGCCTCGCCACACCTGCCACCACCTCTCCGGCCCATGCCCACCACCGCCACCACCACCTTTCAACTGGCCCCCTGTTGAAACAGTTTGAGGACTCCTGATTTAGGTGATCTGTGTTATTTCACTACATTACAAGCTTTGTCCTTTTATTCATTGCAGCACAAATGGGAGAGTAAAGTCTGCTTTTGATCTAAATACCTGTCCTAGGAATCAAGACTGAGCTCCCCTAGATAACAGGAGCCGCTTGTACTTGACTGATGGGTAGACTAGCTAGTCAAGGACTGGCAAGCAATTTTTAGTGGCAGCCAGGAGAATACCTGCTCAAACTCTAGTCTTCTCCGCACACAGTGCTTGAGACTTCACTACAAGCTACTAGATTCACAGGTGAGCATGGCATCCAAGGGGCACATGCCACATGGACTAACAGGTCAGTTCCTGCACTGCAAAGGGGAGTAAATCCTTCCCCCATTCACCCTCATTGTCTCACCAGTCCCAGCTAACACTCATGTTATTTGCCAAACTACTATTTGCCAAACTACCTACATGTAAGTCCATGTCCAGGACAGGTTGAAACACTGCAAGATGTTTACTGGAAAGCAGTTTTTGTAATATTAGAACCCACTTTATAACCTTACTACTAATTCTGCTCCTTGGAAGGATAAATGTGTTTTATGTTCCACATCTGTTGGCTGGCATAAATAAGGTTGAAAGGTGTGGGGAGAAGCACATATGTTGCTGCAACTATTGAGATCAGAATCAGGAGCTGCTACTAGAATAAAAATGGTATGGGCACTGGTTCTTTTCTGTTGTGTAAATGTCTATTTTATCAGTTCTTTTCAGAAACAATTCTATGCCCCTTGTCCTGGGTCTTGCAAGGCTTCCATGCTTCCCATGCCCAAAATGAGGCATGGCAGTGGCAATCTCCATGGTGCCTCCCTCTGGGTGTTTCATCTACAGGGCTGTTTTCAACCAGCTAAATGTAGTGCTGGAGAAGGGGAGGAAAGAAGACTGGGACAGCAGTAAGAAGTGGATGGAGTCTTCAACCTCAGCCACTTCTCTCCACCTTTCCGCTCACCCTTCTCCCCCAGTGCCCAGCTGCAACCTAGGGGAACCACCAGCAGAGTTCTTTCAGTGCCAGCCATGAGGGGCTAGGGCAGGGGCTCAGCTTTCAGAATCCCAGCTCAAAGGTCACATGCTCCTAGTGCTGCTGCTCTGAACACTCCTGTGACCTCCCAGGTGATGTCAGGAGGCCAAAGACTTGTGCCCTGAGTATGTACTCATACCCCATTTTGCCATTTTGCTCTACTTTCTCATGCTACACATTCCACAGCCCCCTTTCCTCAGCAGTTTTAGGTGACCTTTAAATAGGTGTATTAATAAAGAAATAAATACATACATACATAAGATTTTAATAATAACTACTTTAACCATTGTTTTAATAATAATGTTAATATTAATGTATAACAATGTTTATGTGCCAGTTTGTAGAAAGGGGTAGACCTCTGTTGATGCATTAAATAATTAGGCACCATCATCTTAATAATGGAGTTTTGACAACATTATTAAGATGATGGCACCTAATCAGTGTTCACCTTTCTATGTTGCCATTTTATAATTGATTTATTGCATTTTTACCTAGATGAATTTGCCTTCTGGTGCTTTGAGTGCCAATAGAATGTTTCTATTACATTTTAATTTCTTTTTACTGCTTTGTTAAAGGGATTAGAAATAGATACACACATCGACAGGGGAAGTGTGAAACAGGCCTAGGTTTGAACATGTGCCAGACCAAGAACTTTTATTTTTCCCAGCCACACAGTCATTCCATTCATGTGCAACTGCACCAACTGGTAGCCATATTCTGTCATTTTTACTGGCTTAAAAAAATATATCCCTGCAGGTACATTGGGGCCCTGGGAGCAAGGGTGATCTGTGATAACATTCCTGGGCTGGTCAACAAACAGCGGCAGCTGTGCCAGAGTTACCCAGATATTATGCAGTCCATTGGAGAGGGGGCCAAGGAGTGGATTCGGGAATGCCAGCATCAATTCCGTCATCATCGCTGGAACTGCAGCACTTTGGACAGAGACCATACAGTCTTCGGCAGAGTCATGCTTCGAAGTAAGTTTCCTTGTTCATCTGTTCCTGTTTATCTTCTGCCCAGCCTTTCTGAAGGATGCCACATGAGAGGTTCTGGGCTACAAGAAGTTGTTCTTTTATCAGGGTGTTTGTTTCCTTCTGTTCAAAATGGCTTTGGTATTTGAAAATCAAAGATTTTTTGTTGTGGTTTGTTTTTTGTTTGCTCAAGTCTTGGTTTTCAGCCACAAAAAGGCTTGTCCATGCTTTGGGGGTAAATAGACAGTGACTGTATTGTTGTTTTTAGTGGATTGGTTATGTTGGTAGCTTTACTGTATTTTGTTATGTTATTTTAGAGTCATGTTTTAAAGTTGCACTGTATTTTGTATAGCTTATTAGCTGCTCAGGATTCTTTATGAGGAAGGGCCAATATATACATCAAATGAATGAATGGCATTACAGTACAAATGACCACTGTCACTTGCTGTGCTGGTCTTAAGAAGGCTGTTGTGTCCTTCTGGTGAAGGTAACTATTCTTTTGATAAGACAGGCTAACCCAACTGTTTTTTCCATCAGTGGATAGCCAGATTCCTCAGATAACTTCATAAACAAATAAAGATGGCAACCCCTCTTTTCTCTTGGATAGTTTGGTCCTCACAGATGTACTTCCTCTGAACATGAAAGCTCCATCATAAGTAAGGCCTTCCATGAATTTGCCTATCCTGTTTTTGCAAATGTTTAAAGCTGGTGGTCATTTGAAACTAGAGAGAGGAACCTTGTCTCCCCACACACCTTTGTACAGCAAGTGACCTAGGAGCTGCAGAGCTCAGCAGAAAGAAGTGCAGAAATGTGTTAGAATAAGATGTAGTGGAAAGGGCCACCTATTTCTGCCTGACTGCAGGCATATAATCATCAACTTAATTCACTCTGTAAATTCAGACTGCCTGTGATTTATTCAGGGTCATGGACAGAGACATGCAACAGATGTGGTTTGTAGCTCACAGACTTTGCAATGTGGCTACTTTAGAGCAAGTAGTCAAGCTAGAGCAAGTAGTCCTGGTTTTTAAGGATTTTTTAAAAAATAGGTGTTCAGCATCTTAATATACATGCATGAACTTGCATATATAACTGTAGTAATTAATACATATGAAATGCATGCAACTCTCTAACAATTATCCAAAGGTGGACTAAATATCCAAAATAAGTATCCATTTAAGAGTGGTATCTCTATACCACTCATTCATATATCAACAGCATTGACATGTCCTCAATTCATGGCATTTTAGGTGACTTTACCCTTCCAGTGTTCTGATACCAGAGTTTTAGCTGCCAAAAGGGCATTGGAAACCCATTTACACTATTTGTTAATTTCCCTGAAGTGGGTAAATGCATTAAATGTATGTACATGAGTAAATATTAAACACTGTTCCAGTACAAAAAAAATCAATATAATAACTTCTTCCTCCCTGAAAGAAGTAGCTACTAGGCTTATTTTGGGGTTTCTTTAGAACAAATGTGGCTTTGATTATTTAAAAAGTGCAAAACATAGCCTTTTCATTCTGGAAGACTAGTAAGTTCAGTTATTATCTCAAAAACTGATCGGTTACATATTTTTAATCTCACTTGAAGTATGGAGGCTAGGACTCCAGATGGGTTAACTGAAACTGATGGTATTTTTTGCTTGGGATTTCTCCTTACTTTCAGGAATGGGGTGGGGTGCTGGGGAAATGGCTTTTCAGTACAATACTATGCGTATTTCTTCAAATTTCCTACTCTGTCCAATTGGATGTACTCCATGCAAATGCTGACAAGATTACAACTTCATTCTAGCAGTGAAAGGTACTACTTGGCAGCTACTCATATTTTTTTCACTGTCGTTTAATAAGAGATCTGTAGTGACCTTTGATCAAGCTGTTCTGTTTATGATTTGAATAATACTGCTAAAAGCCTAAATCACCGCAACCTCAGTATATTTCCAAGTTTTAGAAAGTGGATGCAAATATAGTTCTCTCATTGATTATTTTGACCTTATGATTGCAAGGACACAGCTAAAAATATCTGAGGTTGACAATATGAGTGGTATAATAGTATGGCTTATGTACGTATGTACCCAATCCAAAAGGGAGATCCCCAGATGGAAGATTTCCATTGGCATAACATCTGAAATTAAGCAAATTACCTGGTCCAGATGGTATCCATGAAACATGAAATTGCTGACATTCTTATTAAAATATTTAATATGTCTCTAAAGAAGTCCTTGTACCAGAGGATTGGAGAATTATCAATTTAACACCAATTTTTAAAAAGGGATCAAGGTGGGATCTGGGAAATTACAGGCCAGTTAGCTTAACATCTGTTCTGGGTAAACTGCTTGAAAGCATCATTAAAGATAAAATCAGTTAACACACAAAGGGACAAGCCCTGATGAGAAAAGATTAGCATGGATCCCTCAAGGGGAAGTTCTGTCTGACTAACCAATCAGAGTTCTTTGAGAGTGTCAATGAGCATGTAGGCAGGGCAACCCACTGTTTACCTGAGCTTTCAAAAGGCTCTCACCAAAGGTTCTTGAGCAAACTAATCATACATGGAATAAAAGGGGAGGTCCTCTTATGGATCACTAATTGGTTAAAGAGCAGAAAACAGAGAGTGGGAATAAATGACAATTTCTCAAGATGGAAAGACATAATCAGAGAAGTCCCACAAGGTTCAGTATTAAGGCCAATAAAAGCCTTTAGCAGTGACTGAGCAAGAAAGGGACCTTGGGGTGGTAGTGGACAGGTTAATGAGAATGTTAAGCTAGGCATAAGTAGGAATGGAACAGAAAATAGAACGGAATAGATCTTATTCCGTTATATGAACCCTTGGTATGACCATATTTAGAATATTGTGTCCAGCTCTGGTCATCTTACCTGGAAAAGGACATTGTTGAGTTGGAAAATATACAGTGGAGGACAATAAAAATGATCAGGGGTCTTTGAGTTTCTCCCATACAAGGAGTAGCTGCAACAACAGGACTGTTCAAATTAGGGAAAAAAGTGAAGTAACAGGAATAAGAGGTGCTTAAAATTTTGCACAGTGTGAAGAAAGCAGAGAAGGAGGCATTCTTCTTCCTCTCCCGTAAAGCATAAGCACAGGGTCATCCTATGAAGTTGCTTGAGGGAAGGTTTAGGGCTGACGAGAGGAGGTACATTTCACACAATATAAAGTTGAACTGGGAAATTCACAGCTATGGGAAGAAGTAATGGCCATCAATCTGAATGGCTTTTTAAAGGGACTGGACAGATTTGGGGAAGAGGCTATTCGTGGCTACTAGCATTCCTACCTCCTTCCCAGAGACAACATGCCTGCATGGACCACTTGCTGAGGAGCATGAGCAGCCAGGGGTTCTGGAACCATCCTGCTTGAGTGATCCTGGTTTGCCACCATGTGTTCAGAATGCTGGACTAGATGGACATTTGCTCTGACCCAGCAGGGATTTTCTTATGCTTTTGTGTTATTATCTCTACCACACTGCTTGGGATTTAAAAATCAGAAGACCCAGAAGTCCCAGCTCTCACTTATATATGACTGGGGCAGATCTGCATTCTTCTTAAAGAAGAATTAAAGAAACAGGAGTGGAGCTATCTCGCTTAGTTTAGCCCTGAGTCCGTTAGGAAGGAGGAACATTTTACCCTCTCATGAGGAGTGCTAATCACTGTGGACAGAGCAAGACCTAAAATCACCCTCTGTGATGTCATGGCTTCCCCTGTATACTAAGTAAACAGTAATGGGATATGTCACTGCCCTGGGAAGTAGCCACTTCAGAATGGGAAAGAACACCTTTGAGAGAGTAACTGCTTAAAAGTAAACTGTAACAGGATATATAAATATTTGGCTAGCGGAGCTGACAGTCAGTTGCTGAGGGCAAAGCTTGGAGTCACCCTGTGTAGCGCAAAAGGCTGAGCCATAACTTTGGCCTCCCTTGCAGCAGGAGATGTGTAGAGTCTAAAACTCCAGTGAGCCTGCAGGAAATTTTCAGATCTTGTTTCCCACCATAACATTTCCCCAGTGGCCAGAAAACGACAACAACATTACGTGTCTAGGAAGTGAGACTTCAGCGGTTGGGGGGGTGGGGAGAGAGGACACTTCCCCGATTTTCTCAGTCCATCTGAAAGTTTGGAAAGGTGCACCACACACTTTGCATTCATCTGAGCTTTTCTGTGGGAAATAATCTTCATACAATGCATTTGCTTCTGTATGCTTAGTGGCATGCCTGATGGTGGTATTGGTTATCACTGCGCTGACAAGTCCACCCGATAGAAAGGAAATGTAGAAGTAGCAGCCCACTTATGTTGGAAGTGTGAGGTGTTAATTTGGTAGCAGTTTATCCCCACTCTTTTTCAGTATTATTACACATTATATTAAATCAAAATGTAAACACAAATGTGAAAATTAAAAATGGAAATATTTGCTTAAATTAATTGTAATTGCTACGTATGAAATTGTATATAAAGTGTATATTTTGTATTAAACAAGATGCAGTACAATCTGTAAGCAGTTATGGATAGGCTTCAACAAAGGCAGCCAAATCTCCATTCATAGGTTAAAAAGTTGAAAATGACATTAAGTCCCCAATACATTGTGCTATTAGAGGAGGCTGCTTGTCTTTCCAATATAGTAAAAGTAGTCTTTTCACTGCTAAAAGGGCACAGAAAAGCTGATTATATTGGCCTGAGGTTGAGTTCCAAAAAGCAGGTAGATAATTAAATGAAACAATAAATATTACAGTGCTCTCCAACACAAAGTTTATCCATATTATTACCTCCTCCCACAAATAGGCAGCCCTAGGCACTGCCAAACATATAGGTAGGTTAAGCATTGGTTGTATTACCTCCAAGAGTTAGTTAATTTAAACAAGTCCTTATTAAAATCCAGTATACACAGGACTTACATTTTTTCCTGAATAAGATATAAACTAACTTTCCTGAGTGGAGTGCCAACACAGAGATACATTGTTTGGGTAAGATAGGCAATCCAATTCACTGTTCTGTTCTTTAAGACCCTCTGTATCATATTTAGTCAGTGATAATAAGTAAATATAAACCTGAACTGTAGATTGGTATAGTGGTTAATCTTAATAAATGATTCCAATCAAGGAGCAGCTCTGAAACTACAAAATATCAGTGCCAAACCTAGATTGTATATATTGCCATTCAGCTGTAGATGACAAAGCATATTCAGCATGTAAATTTATTATCAGCACATGTTAGTTAACCCAATGCAAAAGACTAAGTGTGTGAGACCAGGTCTCAGGTGATCTGGGTTCTATGGAGCCAGTTGGGCAACTTTGGGCCAGTTACAGATTGCTGGCCAGACTCTCAGCCCAACCTACCTCACAGGGTTGTTGTTGTGGTGGTGTTGTGGGGACAAGATAGACAGCAAGAGGAAGAGTATTATGTAAGCCATTTTGAGTTCTTTGTAAGGAAAAGGCAGGATATAAATTAAATGAATAAATAGCAATCACTTTGTAAATATGGCCATTCTCATTAACAAAATAGTTTTGTGCTGGGAAATGTAAAGAGCCAGCTTGCTTCCAACTTTGACCTGTCCTCTTTTGCCTCTGGGTGAATTATATTACTTTAGTATAGAAAATTTTAATGCCCTTGCATAACATGGCAATGCAAGATTTTGTGAGATATGCCATAAGCCACACACAGTCATGAGCAAAGGGTATTTTTGATTATACATATGCCCCTTTCTCATGATTATATGTCACTTTAGCATATGACACTCATGCATATATACAAATACCTGCTGCTGCTTCTCATGGAGCTCTAACATGGAGCTCTAACGCCAGTTAAAAGCCATGAATAAAAGCCAAGGAATATTTTGTAAGCAACAGGCTAGAGAGATTTAGAAATCCTGGCTTGGTGAAAGGGAGAGACTGCCAAGCCAGTCTTACCTTCTGTCCCTGCTGCTATAAAGGAGATCTACCATTTCCCTCACTGGTCTTTGCTAAGAATGGTAGAATGCACTGTTACCTTTGAAGCTATTATTTGAAGGCAGCATCTGCAGAATTAAACAGTGTGGTTTTGATTTGCAGCTCTTTTTATAGCTGTTATGATAACAGATGCGCACTCAAAGAAGGACTATAAAATACTAGGGAGTATCCTGCACTGTGTGGGGACTTGCCAAGCATTTTACAGCTTCTGGAAGGTGCAGTACAATACGTATTTGTCCAAAAAAGAGCAACAACAACTGCCACCCAGATGGGACAGGGTATGATGTAACTCAGGGGTACTAGGAAAAATGTGTGAAATCAGAAATAATTATTTCTATGCATGTCGTCAAGCAAGTGAATTCCAAGAGGGCTGCAGGTCTATGAAGCTTGGCACATTGTTGTATAAAGGATCAACCAGTTTGCTCTTTAAAGAACATCTGAATCACCCATTTCTTCAGATAAAGATTAAATTAAATTAAAAATTGCTTTTGTTCAAGCAGGAGACCTTTCTCATTGGGCTCTGTACTCTACCCTTCAAGCCTCTTCTTCAAAGCAGTAAGCCTCTAAGAAGTCAATTTCTCTGGCATCTTCCTTAGCAAAGTCTTTGTAGGTGATTGGCTTTTGTCCCTAACACCAACACCAATCAGATTCGAAAATAATCTGCAGATCTGGGGTAGTTAGAATCCTTGTTTTGGGTACTAGAGGATAAATCCCTGATCCCTGAAGCTAGGAAGTGAGCTTTATCAGGGTTCCTAGTGCCAACTAAAGCTAGTCAACTCCAGCGTATCTCCTTTGCTACTCTTAACATACTTGGTTTTGCATTGTTACCCCCATTAAGATTGGGACACAAGTCAAAGGGGCAGTAAATTAAGCACCGGTTATGTTATGGTTATTGATAAATATCCTCAAAGCAAAACATGTTCTTCTGTAGGACAAGTAGCCTACTTCCTTTTTATGGCAAACAGACTTAGGGTTTAAGTCTAACCCTAAGTCTAACACCCCAACCCATACATGTCAAGAATTCCCCCCTCACAGAGAACACAACCAACTGAGAAGCAAACATTCACTCCCCAAAGAGCTTCTGTAATATTTGCAACTTGTACCTATTGCACATAGTATTAACTCTACCCATAATAAGTGAACTGTTCTTCTGCATTCTGGGTAGACTGAGTGTTATACTTTTCTTTCCACAAGCTTTGTAAATTGCTAAATATGTAAGGATATGCAAAACAGATAGAATACTGAAAAAATTGAACTTAAACTTTACTGAAACTTACATTCAAGGCTTGGGGACATTTTGCAGCACATACTCCAAATTATATTCATTTTCTCTTGAGTCTGATACCACTGCTGCTCAAAGGAAGTTTTGTTTGCTTTTTGATAATTCACCCATATACCATTAACCACTTGAGCACATCAAGCTAATTTTTACCACTGGTCAATGTAGTTCTGCATAGCCTATTCAGTATAGATGTGACCCAGCTGTTCAAGGCCTTCGGAGGGAGACTTTTCCTGGCCTCTTGCTACTTGAGACACTTTAACCAGGGATGGCAGAGCCCAAACATCACTGCATACTAAGCCTACATTGCTGTCTGTACCATGATTGCTCTTGCTGTAGTAGTCAATGATAACGTTTTTGGGATGATTTAAATCAAGATGATTTAAATCAGAAAGCAAAAGGGAGGACAAAGAGAAAAAGAGAAAAAAAAAGGCTAGTTTAAACCACTAATTTCAGTCAAGTTTCCCACTGATTTTTTTTCATTTATTTTCCATACAGTGGCACAAATCTAGCCACTAGTCATGCTAATTTATTGCTAAAGAGTTTTATTTACACTGATTCATTCTTAGAAGCAAGTTTTGCATATGTTTCCTTCACAGTGTGTATGTTGGAGTGTATGTCTTTATGGTGTGTGCCTGTAGGATGTATGTCTTTAAACTATTCCCATACAAGTATCTCTTTTGACCAGCAGCCCTTACAATGTCAGGTTAATCACACAGTCCTGCATATGGCCACTCATAAATACATTTGATTAAATTCGAAAGGGCTCACTCCTAAGCAACTAATTATAGGATTGCAACTTTATTACTGCAATACAAGCAGATGGACACTGGAGAATTACATTTTTGTTTTCTTTCCAGGGTTCCTTTTTTTCTTTTCCCTCTGTCTTGGTCTAGTCTTTGTTTCACAAAAAACCAAAAATGCAGTGCCCATGCCTGATAGATCAAAGCAAGGCTTGATATTTACCGGGAAGGTTAGAACTGATAACAGGTTATTGTCAGTCATAATTAAAAATGAAATGCTTGCTTCTGGGTGGAATGTAAATATTTGAGAAGTGATTCAGGTTGGCTCATTGGAAAGAAAAAAATGTTACGTTAACTAGTAAAGGTATAAATTTATTTATTTAATAATTAAATAATACCTCTACTGTTATCTGGTAGAGGTATTAATTCATTTTAAGTAAGCTGGATGTGAGTGAGTGAAGCCACTGGCTTCCTTTCAAGAACACTTTGTTCCTGTCTCTTGAGTCACTCTCTCATTTTTTTCCCACCTATTTGGCAGGTAGCAGGGAAGCCGCCTTCGTCTATGCAATCTCCTCAGCTGGAGTTGTATATGCCATCACCCGAGCCTGCAGCCAAGGCGAGCTTAAGGCCTGCAGTTGTGATCCACACAAGCGGGGCCGCTCCAAGGATGAAAGAGGGGAATTTGACTGGGGGGGCTGCAGTGACAACATCAACTATGGGATCAAATTTGCAAAGGACTTTGTGGATGCCAAGGAAAAAACTGTCAAGGATGCCCGGGCCTTGATGAACCTGCATAATAATCGCTGTGGTAGAACGGTTAGTACCCGCAACTCTTAACGATCAGTATATGAACCATCATATGCAGTTCCATCCTGCTGGCGAATACCTTGGAATAAATTCAACCGATTATGTTGACTAGCAGGTTAAATTGACTCAGACACTGAGAATCATTTTCTGTGTTAAAAAACCAGCTAATGGGAAAAGCTGACCTCTCAAATATAAATTTTCAAAGAGATGTGGGGATTAGTTAGTTGGGCTAGAACAGATAGGTCTTACCTATCCTTGCCCTTGTTCAGTGGGAACTGCCAGCGACTGACTGACCTGGATTAGTAAATGTGGTCAGCAGAGTATAACCAAACAGGACAATTGATGGAGTGAGAAGGAGTGATCATTTGATTTCCTGTTGTATTTAAAATGGAAAAGTGGCATTGCTGACGGTGGCTAGCTTGGCTTCCTCTCTGCCTTCATCCTGGCAGCAGGCACATTTTTATTCAAGCACATCTTTGGCATGTATGCTGATCTGTTGAGTGTACTTTTTATTCTGCTATTTCTGTGATTTAAAAGCTCTGTTTTATTATTGTTTTAACCAAACTTTTATTTTAAATTTTGTTGTTCCTATGATTGTTAGCCAGTTTGAGCATCATTTTCTTGGTGGAAAAGTGGGCTACAGTTCAAATTAAAAATACTTTACATGGTCTCTGATAGAGCTGTATCTGTATGATCCATTTCGGTTCCATCAGACCGGCCCCTTTTAACCAACCTAAGACACTTATTCCAGGCAGACTTGCCTCTACAGCATCATTACAGAAAAGCTCCTTTCATTCATGCAATGATAGTTACATCTCCTAGCACAAGAATCTTCAGTGAGGTCATTAGAGGTCACCCAGGTTTGCTGTCACTTAGGATGATTCTCAGCTCTAATTGACCAAACAGAGATTCATCACAAAAGAGAAGCTGCAGGTATTGTTCACTGATCTGACAGGTCTACTGAAAATGTTCTAAATAGAAAATCCTGATGCAGGAAAGCAAACAAGGGGAAAACTGGCAGAGGGTATTTTATTAAAGAACTTTTTGCCCTTGGGAAGCACACTGGGGGATTCATTGGCTTGCTACTGGCTCTTTTCTTCCAGGCTGTGAAGCGTTTCCTGAAACTAGAGTGCAAATGTCATGGTGTCAGTGGCTCCTGCACTTTAAGGACTTGCTGGTTGGCAATGTCAGACTTCCGCAAAACAGGAGATTACCTCCGGAAAAAGTACAATGGCGCCATTCAAGTAACCATGAACCAGGATGGCACTGGATTTACTGTGGCTAATAAGAACTTCCGGAAACCCACAAAAACTGACCTTGTATACTTTGAGAACTCACCTGATTACTGTGTGATGGACAAATCTGCAGGTAAAGAATGTCCTGAAACCCATTCAGATAGAACCTATCCATGTACCTTCTGGCACTGTAGGAAGGGTTTCCTCTTTCTGTAGCACTACCTGTATGAAATGTCACACAAAAGTCAGCTTCTGATGTAAGAATCCATGTCTGTAAGAGTGTGAGTTTTGTTCCCTTTAATGGTAAGTTTCTAACCCTTGTGATTGTTTGGACAACTGGAGACATAAAGCCAAGATATGAGGTACTGCCTCTGTCTTTATAAAGCAGGGATTGCATGCCTTTAATGGTGAGCTGGCCCTCCCTCATGATTCCCATCCATTTTACTATGATCATTAACCACTGACATTTGCAGGTTTCGGGGGACTCTTGGGCAAGTTGCTTCTGGTGGACCCCCCCCCCGTTTCTGCCCTGCTGCCCACTCTCTTGCCCTCTCCTTGTGCACCCATTTGGACCAGTATCCAGAGGGAAAGCCGCTCTTAAAATCTCACCCTCGTCCCTGTGTTCATGCTGAGACATGGCAAGCGAACAGATTGTGACAGCAGAAAACCAGGGCATCCATCTCTGGGGGTTGCCCTGCAGGGTCCAACAAGGTCTGCCCTTGATGCTGGCCCTAAGCACCACTCACCAGTGTTCCTTGTCAAATCTGCAAGATGCAGATTCCTAGAAATGGTGCACATAATACAAGTTGGAAGCTCACAGGCAGACCTCCTAAATTTTCGGTTGAAGGGAATCCATGACTCAAATGAACTCAGATAGCCAAGTGTATAAGGTTTCCCAATCTTTCCTCTATCAGTGGAGAGAACAGGAGCCAAAATAAAAAGTATTTAATGCAAAAAAATAAAAGTACCCTTATATTTTTACAGGTTCATTAGGGACAGCTGGACGAGTGTGCAACAAGGTATCACGCGGGACCGATGGTTGTGAAGTCATGTGCTGTGGCCGAGGTTATGACACAACCCGAGTGACACGAGTCACCAAATGCGAGTGTAAATTTCACTGGTGCTGTGCTGTACGCTGCAAGGAATGTGAGGACACTGTGGACATTCACACATGTAAAGCACCAAAGAGGGCAGAATGGGTTGACCAAACCTGAGACAGTGATGGACAGAGACAGTGGAACGTAAAACTGGCACAGTGCCGCCCACAGGCCTGGGCATTTTGGGAGTCGTAGTTCAACTGCATGGCTTTTATTTAAATTAATTCTGCAAAGCACTAAGGTGAAGACTACATTTCCCATGGGGATACTGAGCTCTTCTGCTCAGCCAACAGAACTTATCCCCTACTTTCTGAAAATAGGAATTTAAAAATCACACTGAACTGTAAAGCTTCCTATGCCAGGTGATAACTGCACAAAAAAGAGAGGAGAATGCAGTTGTATAGGAACACGGGAGACTGAGAATCGGGTTGCAATTTAGCTGGAGAACCTTGCCTCTATCTAAAGAATATGTTTTGACAGTAAATTATAAAAGGTACCAATGAAAGGAAGAAAAGGAAAGGAAAAAAAAACCCTTCTGACTATCATCAAAGAAAGCCCTCTTTTCCAAAGGAAGATGGCTGTATTGTCCTATGGAAGCTCCACCTTCTACCAAGTTCATCTCTCAGACAGCTGTCCTTGCTCCTGCACTGTGGGCATCAACTGAACAAGAGCAGATTTTTGTAAAGGGATTTGCATTTTTCCACCAACTGAAAGTGAACTTACAAATGGTCTGCAAAGATAAAAGCTGTCTCTACGTACAAAGGGGAAATGGGGGGAAGGATGAGAGAGAGAGAGAGAATGTGTCTTGTCAGTTGTGAAGGAAACTAATATAATGGTGACCTTTTCTGTACAAACTCACTTGTGCATTCTATACACTGCTTTAAATACTTTAAATCGGAAAAAAATATAGACTCAAATCAGAAAATGGTGCTCATCTCTTGGTGACTTTCTACATTCATGACTCGTTAGGTGAGCAATTCTGGTACTGCATGATTGTCCAAGCTCCATAGCCCCTGTGCTTCTCAATTGTAAAGTCAAAGCAAAGTTCTTGAGGCTAAAAATAACATATCCACATATTTGGATCAACAAGATAACACTTTTCTGTTCTGTGCATTCTCTACAATCATTGACCCCCTCTCCTAAATACAATCTTCACTTCTTCTTTTCTGCCTTTTCTCCTTCCCAGGCCAATTTCCATCACCACAAGTGCAATTTTCAGAGATGCTTTAGTGCAGGCTCCCACAAGATTACTCAGCTGCAGCCAATGCCACCACCTCACATGATCTCTCCTTCCAGATTCTTTTAAGTCAACAGTCAAAAGAAAGCCTTCAATGTACCCCCAAAGAATACAGGTCAACATAAGGCATATTCTCATAGATCACATACAGCTCCTGAGCCATAGTTTGATCACCTGCAATCATGCACAGTGCTTGATCTCATCTGGTGTAGAAAGTCAGCTAAGCTATTGAGCCATACCCTGAAGATGGATTGTTCAGCCATGTCTTTGAAGCTTGTTTAGGTTGGTAGAACTATTTGCCAGCTCAGCAGAAGCCAATAGTGCTCCATGGCATGTTCAAATCACAGGGCTGCACCATTTTTGTTCAATTGTTTGAAGACGTAACTGTTGGACTTGCACATTTTGTAGTATCTACAGTTAGCATTTTATAGAATACAGTTAGCATCCCGAGACACGGCATAACAGAATCACAACTGTATTAACTGATTCAATCCACATCTATTCAGAAGCAGCTCCTAGTGAGTTCAACGGGGCTCACTGTCAAAGAAATCAGCACAGGAGAGTAATAAGACCTAACTTTTGCTTCCTGTTAACTTTTACTTCAAGAGAACATTTGAAGGTACAAAGTGTCTGACCATTTTTCTCAGTTATCCTACCACACTGTGAATTAGTTTAGGCCTTGAGCTATATAGCAGAGATTTGAACCTACACAGTTGTTCCTCAGCAAACACCCATTGGAGAAGGGCTGCAGCTCAGCAGTACATAGTCCCAGGTTTAACCCGCAGCATCCCCCAGGAGCACTGGGAAGGATTCCTGGCTGAAACTCTGCAGAGCCACTACCAGGCAGTGACTATAGACGATAACAAGCAAAACGACCAGTGAGCTGACCCAGATGATCCTGCTTCCTATGGTAATCCTCTACTCTCTGATGAAGGATCAGAATTGGAGACTATAGCTATACCTAAACTTCGAGGATTCAGGGTATAGTCCCTGAATTCCAGCCAGGATATAGTCCCAAAGACCACCATTGTACTGAGCCTTAAAAGAACTTAAGTTCTACAGGGAATGACTGGACATGCATTCTTCAGGATATTCTTTCTAAGCTTTCAGAAAAGAGCAGAATTACTTGATAAACCCTTGCCAGATGACACAGATTAAATTGCAACTGTGTTTACAGCAGATTTCTTAAAATTGCACTCACACCTTTAAAACTATATATAAATGGTTAAATAAAATGGACCATCATTAGATCATCCCTTACCAAATGTTATGCTGAACGGCTGCCAAACGTATTGTGTGTCTGAATAGGTATGTTTGAAAGAATAGAATATATCTAAGAAATATTGAGAACAAAAAGACACCCAGCTTTTCCATTGTTGGGGAAAGAACACAGACCTAGGAATATGGCTCTCTGCTTCCATGGCAACAAGCAGCTCAACTTTGAAACTTTCTCACCTTCACAAGAAGGTCATAATTCACTTTTCCCCAGTGTTATACTGGCACAGTTTGCTACTGGCCTGCAGAAGCTTTAATGAGAGAGCTAGGTCGTATCAGGCAATATGAACAACTGAGAAACACAGGTGAAACACAGGTGAAGTCTGATTTTGCATTTATAAACCTGTCCTCTCATAAATCCTCTCACTTGTTTTAACTCTTAATGAATAAGCAGTAAATTCAGTCTTTAAAGTTCCTTTGCCCACTTATATCATTGTTTTCACAGGATTTTATGTACTTCTACATTCCAAATTTGACACTTGAAAGAACTCGAAGCCCCATCTTTTAACTAGCCATTCTGTTTCTGTAATCTTTCTAATTCACACTTAGCACTTTGAACACTCTACAGCTTTTCACATATGTTATTCTCAGTAATCCTTAAAAACAGTCTTTATCAGGTCTGTATTATTATCCCCATAGTACAGATCAGGGCTTGGACACAGTAGTCTGCCTAAGAAATGTAGCAGGTTCTAATCCAGGGTGGGATTTGGACCATTTGCTTCCTGGTTCACAGCTTAATCTCTTAACATATTTTTAAATTACATTCTAAATAAAGAATATAAATTGTGCTTTCCATCAAAACTGAAGGTTGTGTTTCCATTGGGGTCTGTTTTTTTTTTTTTTTTAAATCAGTACGCTTGAACTGGTATTACAAAACTGAAAACACTAATAAATATTTATATCAATGTTATATTTAAGCTGACAAAATTAAAAATTAATAAATGGATGGCCCATGTTAAACAAATGTTCTGCCTTTTGTTTTCTCTGTTAGCTTCACAACCCTACCATTTTTTACATGTGGAGAAGATGCAAAATTTGAGTAATTTTTTATTTAAGGAAATTATACACACTGTGCAAACTTCTTGCATTTAAACTTTAGCAAAAGTCAGCCAGTAGTTGAGACCCCAGCCACCCAATATATCTACCTAACAATAATGACAACACAATTGCAGTGTCTACTAGTCATCAATGCCGATGAGTTGTTCTGCCAATTACCACTTCCAAAATTAGAGCAACATGCCTGTGAATACCACTTGTTGGAGAAACATCAATGGGAGATGAATATTAGCTTCCTATGGACATCTAGTTGACCACTGTGGGAAATGGGCTGTACCAGATGAGCCCTTGTTCTGATCTGGAAGGACTCTTATGTTTTAAGTGCGCATGGAAAGTTCCTAGCTTTACATCTTTTAGAATTTTAGCCTGCTTCTTAGAATGCTTCCATCCCATTTGGATGAACTTTGTACAAGGGTGGTTGCATCTCCAACATTTCTAAAGTTTCTCTCCACATATTAGGTTAATTTGGTGGGGTGAGATTGAATATACTATCTCACAGTATATCATAAAAACATTCCTTCATATTTACAGCTAGTGCCCAGGTGCTTGTATTATCAAGTGTCATGTGGATGACCATTATTAATAATCTAATTTTTACTACCTGCATTTAATTTCTGTACATGATGTGCTCTTGTTACACCCATGTAGAAACACATGCATAGTCCAGCATGACCCATACAGCCTGGGAATCTTTAGACGCTGACAAATAAAATGTCTATGTCAAATAGAGGGATTCCCGTACAAAGAAATCCACACTCACACACTGTTAAAGAGGATTACACCACAATGATACATTTATTTTGATTCACAGAAATTGTGGCACACCAAATGATTTGGGGGAATTAATTAAGGTGGAAGTGTGAATAAATCCATCTGCTTAGTTAATTCCTACACCTATTGGGGAGGCTGCAGCCGTCAGGTTATGCCTTGATCGAGAAACAAACTGCATTCTTGTCGAAGTTGGGCTCCTGATCTTCTCAAGACTTGAAGAACTCTCTCTCGCTCTCGCTCTCTCTCTGCGTTTGTGCGTGACAGAGAGGGAGGGAGGGAGGAGGAGGAGAGAGAGAATGTGCCCTTACTAAGCCCTTTCCTGCAAGCAGGAACTAGCAAGTTAAATAAAAGACTCTGGATGGGGGAATGATGAGCCTCCTAACCCTGGGCTTGGAATCCCAGCACCAGACAGGCACCCCCTGCTGCAGCACTGAGAGAAGCAGAGGGACAGCTGCCTGGGAAGTGGGAACGCTGAGCAGCTGGCGCCTGCTTCCCACGCCATGCTCCTGCCCATCCACTCCCGGGCATCCTTTCTGCAGCTGGACAGCGAGGAGGACAGGGCCCTTCCTTCCCCACTACACAGCTGGATGCGCCTGGCTGAGCAGCAGCAGGTACGGAGCGCCTCAGGCTGGGTCTCAGAGTCTAACAAAAGTCCGTTCTTCCTTCCTCACTGCTCAGCTTGGGAGAGCTGCCACTGAGCAGCAAAGGGCATGGATCGCCCTACCCTGGGCCCCAGAGCAGGGGTGAATGGAGGGGAGCCTCATACTACGCCCTGAAGGCCAGCATTAGGTGGCCCGTCTTCCACCACAGCTGAGCAGCAGAAAGAGGGGCACCATCAACCTCAGGCAAGGCTTCCCAGCCAAGCACTACGTGGCCCATGGCCTGCGCCCTCCTTCTTGGCACTTAACTGCTGCCCACCCACATCCAAACAGCTGGTGGAGGTGTCAGTAGTAAGGTGGGGAGGAACCAT